TTGCTTTGAGGCCTATATATGAGGGCCTAACTATTGTATGAGTTTTTTTATGATTGCATAATGAAATTTCAGCTTTCTAGCTCCTTTAGGTTTTGAGAGTTCTAAAGAGAGGTGAAGCCCCTAGGTGAGGGCAAGCAACACCCACCACCCGCAAGAAATGTCTGGGCTCATGGTCACTTTTCTTTCTCTAAATCCCATCCCTCTTCCCCACTACTCGTCGGCCAAAGACCCCACAACCCCCCATAGCCGTCGGGCAAATCCCCCAAAATTCCCCATAGCCGCCGCCAAAGCCCCACCACAACCCCTCCCCTAGCCGCCAGCCCAAATGTCCTCCTCCTCCCCCATAGCCGTCGACCAATGCCCCAAAATCCCCATAGCCGTTGGACCTAAACCCTCCCCATCCTATAGCCGTCGGTCACCCTATTCCCTAAGCCCTAGCCGTCGGCCGAACCCCAATCCCCTTGATTTCAATACAAATTGCCTCTTTAAGACTTTCCTAATTTAGCCCATTACTGGTTGAGAAATTCTCTTAATTCAAATTCAAATTCAAATGAATTTGAATTTCTTAATCTTTCCTAATTAGCATAAGCCTCTTTTGGAAGCTCTCCTAATTGCTACCAATATGAAATTAAATTGGATTTAACTCCAAATTCCACATTCATTGCATGTAGACACATTCATTGAATGTGGACACAATCCTTCCCTCTCCTTTGGCCTGCCCCCTTATCCCTTCTCTCTTAATTAATTTCCCCCATTAATGCTCTCAATCAAAACCCTTCCCACCTAGGTGTGCCACCCCACCCTAGCTCAATTAGAGGAGATTCAAATTTTGAATTATTCCTTCCTTTCCTGAAATTAAATTTTAGATTTTTAAAATTGTTTTCCCTCCCCAAACTAAATCCTAAAATTTGAATTTACGGCTAGCCTCTCTCCTAGCCTTAGCCGACCACCTAAACCTCTCCCTCCTCTCCATCTCTTCTCCCTTGCTTCATACACCATCCAAGGAAGAAGATACACAACCACAGCCTACTTCCCCCTGAATGGCCGATCCTGAACAAGACCAGGGATTCGTATATACGATCAACAAGGATGAGTAGATGTTTTAAGATCGCCCTTCTTCGACATCAACTTGGAGAGCGACCACACTGTCGATGAGTACCTTGATCGAATCCTCTTCACATTGACAACCACCATCGACAAGCATCAAACCTTCGGATAGTTGCAAGTTCTCCAACATCCACCAGCTTCTTCCCCTCCGGATAAGTTTTTGTTGGGCAATACTGCAGGCGTCTTCTGTCTTTTGTTGGCGTCATTAAGTTTGCTGAAATTATTCTTCCGCTAAATAGCTCTCAAGAGTGTGAGTGAGGGGAACTCATGGTGATTTTTCTAATTGTTAACCAGTGGATTCCTGTTACTTGTGCATCTAGTTTATTATAATTTTGTTGTTAGTTTAAATTGCCCTTCTAATCAATTTTGTAATCGCATGCCAAAGAAAACAACAACTAAGAAATCCTATAATCTAATGTTGTGAAACATTAATTTTAAAATTGTTAAGCTTAACAAATTTTATTAAATTCCTGTTATTCCCTTTTATGTTTCACATCACTATAAAGGACTATAAGGATACAGACACCAATAAGTAGAAAGATGGAAAAAAGGGTACTAAGTTTAAGTGCATCCATGAGAGGCTAAGACAAGTTATGCAGTTTGCTAAAAGCTACACTTTGAAGTTTGAACTCCGACAAAACAAAAAGGAAGGTAAATGAAAGCCAAGTTTGAATATTAATACTATTGATGAAATTACTTTGCTTGAGGCTGTATGGACTAACCCCAAAATTTTATTATTGATTGCCCATGAGAAAGAGAAAACTTGTGTAAAGAATGACAACGAAGAACTCTTCAAGTCGGCATCCAAGCAAAGATTTCAGAGGTCCATTGTAGAGCTAGAGATAGAAGAGCCTCATCTACGAAAAAAAAAAGATAGTTCAGAAATGTGGCTCGTGACAATACTACATCTTACTCTCTATGCTCTTGATTAGAGTCAAAGGATGTGGAGATGCAAATAACGGAGTTGTGCACTTTTAAATTCACGAGCATTAACTAATCATTGGACGTAATCACTTGCACAGTGATTCATTGGACTTTTGTTACATGTTAGTTAGAAGCTCCTGTCTTTAGGTTTAGGACATTTTCTACGTTAAAAGGTGATAACAATATTGATTTGTTAATGTGGGAAGTTCACGGTGGCAATGCCACAAAAATTCCTCTAGTGCAAATTTAATTAATGGAAAAGCGTCAATATAGAATAGTGAACAATTGTTTAAGTTTCACATCATTGATCCTATGAATGTTAAAAATTGAGTAGAAAAATCAATCTTTGCCTTCTTATTAGAAAGTTAAAAATGAAAATAGTCAAAATATGGCACGTTGTATTGAGGAAAACAAGCATAAACAATAGAGGTGCAAACGTCTCCCAATGACAATAAAGGTGAATGACAACATTAAGGAAGTTAAGAAGCCTTAAGAGAAAGAAGTCATTGAGTTATGTTGTTTGATTTGTACATCTCTTGCGGCATTGAAGCCTAAGAAGGATAGTAAAAGGAGACGCAATTTCTTTTCAGTTGATGCAAAGTTCTCCTCCACTAAGAGGGATATTGTGAAGTAATAAAGTTAAGAAAGATGATTGAACATGATTATAGAAGCATAGGAGAAGCCTAAGAAGGATAGTAAAAGGAGACGCAATTTCTTTTCAGTTGATGCAAAGTTCTCCTCCACTAAGAGGGATATTGTGAAGTAATAAAGTTTAGAAAGATGATTGAACATGATTATAGAAGCATAGGAGAATGAAACTATCTTCTCCAATCTTGAAGTCACCAATGATTTAGCTGGGCTTAGTCAACCATCTTATAGGTCAGCTCTTGGTTGAACAATCACTTCAAATTTTGAAGCAATGCACAGCCAAATGATGGGTGCTAAATTTGTCCATAGCCCAAGAAATAGGTTGCATATTTATCTCTTTCTGTTGCTTCTTATATGAGTGACAACACTAAGTGAGGTAACCATAATTCAAGAGGTTCTTAGGGACCTTAAGAACCTAAAAGTAATGCCTATTCTTTTAGATAGTTAAAATAATAGCTACATCATTACTTGGGAGATTACTACTTCAATGGTACGTCAAGGCAATACCAAGGATAATCAATGCTCCATCAAATACCTTGTGGGAGTAACGACTAAATAAGGTAGGGGGAAGGCCAATTTCAGGGTGGAAATGAAAGGAAGAGATCTCCCAAGATAGCTCAATGATATGTCATTAAATCTTTCATATGTTAACTAATTTTCAGAGATAGAATATTTGATTATATTTTTGAATTGATTTAATTTTGATTTGGTGGAATACGTGATGCTTTTTGTCTATAAATAAAAATTCTTGTACATATATTTTTTATGAATGAATGTCAAGTGGAGTTTCTCCTAAATTATTCATCTATGCCCCCTCCATGTGCTGCCCAATGAGTACTTAAAGGGGAACACCAACTCGAGTTGTAGCGAATCTCTTCAGGCCTTGGAAACTTCTTTAGGATGTGGAAAATAGAATGAGAAACTCTCACCTTATTAGCACGAAGCAAAGTGGCATTTCTACATAACATGCCTCATGGTCAAGTGGAGGCTCGGTAGGTATTTACCAAGTTTGACTAGTTAGTATTAGGTTCTATTATATGTAATAGCCTAGCTAGATTATAATTATGATTTTGAACCATATATAATGTCATTTATTTCTACACACCTAAGATTATTCATTCATGGTTTTCCTTTTACTTCTAAGGACAAGAGCTTGAAGATGCATTGTTCGACCCAATATATATTATATCTAATTTTAACACATTTTGTTCCAAGTTCTTATCGATGGAAAAATGTGCCAAGCCTTGACGCTCTTGAAGATTTTGACAACACTCCTGTCACACTCACAGTGTAAGGCACCATTTTTGCTAAGTCCTGAAATTGTTAGAACTTTTGAGATGCGCTTCCATGCCCGGGGATGCATACAAGTTTCCCACCCATTTCAAGAAAGGCTAGTATAGATGTTATAGCCAAAGTTAGCACCTATATAGATTTAGGCCCTGGGCAATTATAATTGATGCTAGTGGCCTAAGCTCCTTAGGAGTTGTTGGACCTTAAGAAACTCGTTGTCATTAATTTGTCAAGTATTTGCAAAACAGCAAGTGTTATTTTTGTTCATTGGTTCTTATCTCCCAACTAGAAATTTTATGAAATTAAAATTGTATATGCTAAGAATTTGAGTATTGACCAGTAAAAAAATTATTGATAACTTTTTTTAGTAACAGAAATGAGAAATGATTGATAAATTTTAAAAGTAGCAAGGATAACATGGAAATTAATTTGATTAGTGGGACAATGGGGAGCACTTACTGAAAATAATATAATGAAAATAGATGAAGCTTGGGCTTGTGCAATGAAAGATGGAATATGTAGTATAAGGTGACTAAGGCTTTGTTTGGGACGGTTTTTTTTCTGCTTCTTAAAGCAGCTTTCTAGCATAAATTTTTTAATTTTTGAACTAAGCTGCTTTAGGAAGCAGGAAAAAAATCGTCCCAAACGAAGCCTAAATATTTAAAATGAAATTATCATAAAAAAAGTTAGGCCAGCATCACGAAGAATTGTCTAGAAATCCTTCTTAGAAAATAGAGTTCATAGCTGATGTAATCCTCTCCAGCAATAACTAGAGGAAGTTTCTTAAAGTGGCCCCCAAGTAGTTTTGATAAGGCTAATGATGTTGTTAATCAATTCCCGTTTCATAAAATGTATTTCATCGGGTTTATTTTTTTATTTTTACTGTCCATATTCACAATTGGAGCTTTAATTCAATTTCTCTTTGCTTCTCAATTCTCCTCTTGCCATTTTCTTTCTCATTTACTGTAAAAGTAAATGAGCAATTATTACTTTTTTCTAATGCATAATATTCTCGCTTTTAATCAATGCAGGTATATTGCGGTTGGTAATGAACCTTTCCTCACAAGCTACCAGGGTCAGTTTCAATCCTTTGTTGTTCCTGCAATGCTTAACCTTCAACAATCGCTTTCTAAAGCAAATCTAGCAGGCTACATAAAGCTTGTTGTTCCTTGTAATGCTGATGCCTATGAGGCATCCCTCCCTTCTCAAGGAGCATTTCGACCTGAATTAACTCAAATAATGACCCAGCTTGTTTCTTTCCTCAATTCCAATGGATCCCCTTTCCTTGTCAACATCTACCCTTTTTTTAATATCTACCAGAACACAGATTTTCCACAAGATTATGCCTTCTTTGAGGGCTCTACTCATCCAGTTGTAGATGGACAAAATATATATTATAATGCCTTCGATGGCAATTTTGATACCTTGGTTGCTGCTCTCAATAGAATTGGTTTTGGGCAGATGCCAATTGTGATTGGTGAGGTAGGCTGGCCCACTGATGGATCCTTCAGTGCAAATCTAAGTGCTGCAAGGGCATTCAACCAGGGCCTGATTAACCATTTGCTCAGCAACAAGGGCACTCCTCTGCGGCCCGGAGTACCCCCTGCCGACGTCTTTCTCTTCAGCCTCCTAGATGAAGAGCAGAAGAGTACTCTTCCTGGGAATTTCGAACGCCATTGGGGTATTTTCTCGTTTGATGGACAGGTCAAATACCCCCTGAATCTTGGCAATGGCATCCTTAAGAATGCCAGAGATGTCCAGTATCTTCCTTCAAGATGGTGTGTTGCAAACCCATTTAGGGACCTTACTGATGTTTCAAACCATATAAAGCTTGCTTGTAGTGTTGCAGATTGTACTACTCTTTACTATGGAGGACTGTGCAATGCCATTGGAGATAAGGGAAACATCTCATATGCCTTTAACAGTTATTATCAGGTTCAGAATCAGGACGAAAGAAGCTGTGACTTTGATGGCCTTGGAATGGTTACATTTCTTGATCCTTCTATAGGTGACTGCCACTTTCTTGTTGGTGTTAATGATAACAGTTCTTCAACTAGTTGCAGGATCTTGAGTTGGTTGTGGGTTCTGATCCTCTGGGTATTAATTAGTGCACCATAGAATTTTGGGTTTAGTATGACTAAAATAGCAGTAGTTATTCTTTGGAATGGTTATAGTTCTACAGAAGCTTGTTAGTATTCATAGGAAGAAAAGCTTGGATCATATTGTGTAGGGTGGTTGTGCATGTCCCTCTGATTGTGTGGGTGCCCTACAACTATGAACATTATAGGGTGGAATTAGGCTTCGTTTTGGACAGCTCTCGTATTATTTTATAAAGCATCTTTTTAGTACAAAAAAAAAAAAATTGTACAAAAAAAAATTACAGTTTTGTTTGGGACAATTTTTTTATTGCTTTATGAAGTAAATTTCTAGTTTGTGTTAGGTTGATTTTCAATGTAAATATTTCATAATTAGCTTAAAAGCCTTGAAGATGATGCCACTTTTATGGAAGAAGTTATTTACAATGAAAATGAAAAAGAGCCAACAATGAGAAGGATGCACAGTTCATACAAATCTGTTATATTCAACATGTTGATGGTTTTTGCCTGAATATGTCCACTTTGATAAATTTAAATTATGATTGAATATTTGATAACAAAAAAAAATGTATTGAAGACATTGCATAGTATCAAAGTCCTTTCCCTTAAATATGGAAGAAGCTCGTTGGTCAAAACTTTTGGACAACTTAAAAGAATTTTCTTATGGTCGACTTGCCTCCAAAAGCTTGAGAGTTACACCAACAAGTACGAGATTATAAAATATTTTTATAATAGATTTATTTTATATTACTAAGTTGGATATATAATATATTATTTTGTAAGTCTTTGGTGTATTCATAAGATATAATTAGTAAGCTCCACATAAAACATGAGTAATATTTTATGTGAACATACATATAAACTTTTGTCTTGTGTGAAAATCTTTTTATGGGAGCACTCCACCTCAAGAAAACTATAAAATTACCTTGATTCATGCAATACTTTATATAACTTTTTTTTTTTTAATCTTTATGTCAACTACTTGTGATAAAACTAGTTATTTATTTGTCAAAATTTGAATAGTTTGTCATCTTGAAGACTTAGGCTTATAGATCTAGGTTTTTTTTTCCTTTTGCATTCAAAATTGCATGCATAATAATGTATATAAAACTAGTGTGTTTACACTTTATAAAAAATTTATCAAAAATGTCTAAAGTACCAAAGGAGAGCTTGGGGCATAAAAGGTCTTTATTTTCACTCTCTATCTTCTATAGACCTTTGTTCCTCTCTATCTTCTATAGACCTTTGTTCCTCGTCTTTTTCTTCACATTAAAAAAAATCTCATGACACCTAAATCAATTTCCCAATATCACATTCAAAAATTTGTTTGAATGGTTGATTCCCTAGACCTTAGGATTCATGAAAATGTAACTAAGACTAAAGAATTATTTGAAGAGAATAGAACCTAGATGAAAAACTTAAAGATCAAAAGCAGTCTATCTTAAGTCATAATGTACTTTTAGACGATGTTGCCTTTTACATAAACCAATATGAAGATCTTCCTTACAGGAAAAACCAAACCCTAGGATTAGAGATAGAAGAGACCATCCTTATATGAATGATGATGACTGTTGATCCCTCTATGAGAGTTAAAGTTGAAGCTCCTACCTATGCACCCACGACCCTAATAGGTTCTAAGATTGGTTGGTCAAAATGGATAACTTTTTTTATTTATATAACATGGATGACTACTAATGAGTTAATTTTGCCAAAATGAAATTAATTGGACATGCAAAAATTCATTGGACAAATACATTAGCCAAGGAATACATATTAGGAAGAACCACCCTCACATGGATAGAAATGAAAGAAATGTTAAGAGTTGAGAATTATCCTGAACATCATGACAAGAAATTACATAGGAAATTGTTGACCTTAAAGCATTGTAGTTTCCTAGTTATTAAATATTTAAACATATTTGAAGACCTAGTTTTTAGGACTAATTGTAGTGATAATAATTGGTGGCTTGCTAACAAATTTATCATTGTACATAGGACTCTCATTAGGAATGAGGTTGAACTATTTAACTCTTAGAACTTAGAAGAAGCCTTTCATTATGCCTTTTTGGTTGAGCAAAAAAAAATCTAATTCCCTCTCTAAAATTAGGTCTCAAACTACCTCCATTTCATCTCACAGGTTTGTTATTAAAACCATAGCATCTACTAACCCAAATATTAAAAAACTTATATTAAAGGAAGTTTAAAAAATAATCAAGAAATAATGTTTTTTAAGTGTCATAAGAAGGGTCACGTGCAAAAATCAATGTAAAGCCTAAATATTATTCTTAGATGATACTGAGGATTCCATAAATGATGATTTAGAAGAAGTTTATGATGGAACCCCATTATATAATGAAAGATTAGAGACTATAAGTATCCCTCAACTTAATGTAATGATATGTCTGATTGTAGCTAAGAATGAGGTAGATGATTGGAGAAGCAAGAATATTTTTAGTATGCATGTGATATGCAATGAGAAAATATGTATATTACTTATAAATGGAGAAAGTGTAATGAATGTATTCTTAACCCACACCATTACTAAGCTAATATAAAAAATGAACCGCACTTTGAACCTTTTAATGTCAGTTGGGTCAACCATACAATTCTCCCCATCACACATAAATGCCTAATTCCTATTAAGAATGGTAGATATGAAGATTAAATATGGTATGATGTCATTCTCATGGATATTACTCACATCTTATTAGGGAGATCTTCGTTGTTTGATATTGGTGTCATTCATTATGGTAGATAAAGTAATTGTATTTTTTAAACATAATAATAAAATCATTAAAATCCTATCAATCAAACCCATAGAGATGGAACTTATTATATATAACCTCATAAGATAAATTCTCATTTGTAGTTCAACCCCACTCCAAAGAAAAGGTGCTAAATTTCAGTGAATTGCATAGAAAACCCTATTGTCAAGGATAATATTGTCAATTCTAATCATAATTTAGCCACCATTATTTTTCCTACTTTTATGAACTCACCAATAAAAATTATAAGATATGGAACTTTATAGAAATTATTTTATGATCTGAGTATTCATCAGTTCTTACATGTAAAAGAAGTAACCTCGGACTCAAATGAAACTCGCATGCATGTTATGGTATGTCTACTCCTATCTGAGTTTAGTGATAATGCACCTTTTGAAATAGCGTATATTCAAAACTCCAGGCAACCAATTGATGTAACCAATCTCCCAGCTCATGCATTTTATAATTATGCATTCACTTTTCATAATGACTTTCAAAGCCTACATGACAACATGTTTACTCTTAGGTTTTCAAATATGTTCACAAGGGGCATGGCCGAAGGGAACATTTTCTCAAAGCAATGCTCATTCAAAGAAAGCCTCACCGTGGAGGGTGGTCACTCAAAGCAGTCAATGAGAAAATTCATTCATTCAAGAGAAGCTCTCAGCATATGAGCTTGCACATGGAGGATCAAATCAGGGATGCTCTTATTCTTAGTGAGATCATACAAAGGTCTTACCTTAGTAAAATCATAAGAGGCACTCACCCCAATAAGATTTGATCCTCTTAGTAATTTTTCTCAACTCATGTCAGTTATCTTTTGTAGATAAACTTGTCTAAACTATAGGAAACAAACACCTACAAAGTACATGGCCATTACTCAACGACTATGTTTGTTTTTGGTTCGCAATCACATTTATATAGGAGACTTGATACTTATCCTAAGTCACTCTGGTTCACAGACATTTCATGAACATTCACTTCTGAAGATTTTCCCAACACATTCGCCCTTGAAGACCTTCCAAAGGAACACACTGGGGGCTTCCTTAGGCCAGGTCAAAGGCAATGAGCTCATCTGCACCTTGTAACCATGCTCAGGAGGAGCTTGTGTGAGTTTGTAACTATCACATTACATATTATTTATCTAATTTTTTAGGTGTATACTTTCAAGTAATCCTATTAATCTTATCATTACCAGGAAATCCAACAATTTTGGCAGAATAAAAAAAGGTTGAAATTTTTGTCCTAATTTTTTAAAGAAATTATACTAGAAACTTTTTGGCATTTTCAACAAATTTTTGGTAAAAAGTTTTGCCAAAAATTTCTACTTAAAATTGCTCAAAATTTTTGCTAGTAATGTCATAATTTGTAAACTGAAGAGCTCCTTCTCCATTTCACACAAATTCAACCTCTAACTATATTTTCATCCCATTTCATTCTTCCAACCTCTATGCTCATTAGATCTTTTTATCACCAATTTCTTTAAAGATCAACAGATAAACCTCATCTCTTTTATGTTTTTCAATCAATTTAAGATTTTGTTCATTAGATTTTGTTTTAAGTTTTTAATTTTATGGTTGAGTGTCTCTTTTACATTAGTAATTTTCCCTAAGAATATATTATTCTTCTAAGTTCGATTTACATTATTTTCCTTTATTTAAGAAAGTTATATGTGTTTTAAAATGTAGAGCAATGTGCCAAGGTAAATAATATAGTATGATTTTGTGTAGGTGAAAAGTTTAAATGTTTTTTTTTTTTTAATGCTAGTGAAAAAAAATTAAAAGTAGATAAAATATCTTTTAAGCAAAAATTCATTTATCAATTTAAAATTTTGAATTATCTTTGTCACATGGCAACATATACAGGGATATATTAAGCCAAATGTTGTGAATGTACAAAAGACTATTAGAAGAAAAGGATTAATAGATGAATTTATCATTGTCGCATTGCATATCAATTGCCTTTATTTTTATGCGATGAAAAGTTTAGTTTATTTTCTCAAATCATATAAATCATGTCTACCTTACACCGGATGTGATTGTGCTCAGTTTATATCATAGAGTATTCCTTGCAAATTATTAGTTCTACACTTTGAGAGTACAAACCATATTTTAACTTTTTATATAATCCTTCGACAAGCTACAAAATAGTAGATGAGGAAAATATTGGGAAATACTAAGAGATGGTATCTTATATAATAGGTCCACAATTTAAAGAACATTTTAAGAGCAACCTATCATCGAAGCACAAAACTTCTATGAATTATTATGTGTAGTTCCAAAATCACTTTGGGATGGGTGCAACACTTATTATGAGTTATCAATTGTAATTAGGATGCTTAATATCGAGACCAAATATATTATTTCTCATGAATATTTTAAAAAATTTGTTGGACTACTAAAACAAACTAATTATGTGGATAACGTAGTTCTAGCATATTTATAAATGATAAATAACTTATCAAAATTAGGATTAAGTGCAAGAAAAATAGATTATTACATT